ACCTTCGAATTCGTTCTACACGTACGTAACGCAGTTAATGTTCGTACGAGTTTCAGTTTTGATGTCAACAAGCTTTAGATATGGAAAAATCGTTTGTTGGCGAGACGTAATTTCAATTCTGAAGGGTTCTGACGACGGTAGATTTCAGTGACAGAGACCAGCTCCATCTAAGGGACCCAACAGAGTAGGTTCCTCTCACCTGAAGACAGAGACAGAACCACCCTCCGAAACGTCGTGGGATTTTTAAAGAAAATACGATGGAAAAGTCCTGAAAATTAATAATTTTAAATGCAGACGTAATTTCCTTACTTCGAATTTGAGTGTAACTGAAATTAACAAGAGTATTAAGGTGATGTATTTCATATTTAATTGCCCAGAAGGTGCACAGCCGTTACTCACTGAGATCCGTACAAATCCGTAATCAGAACAGAAATGCAAAATAAGCACTTTATTTGTCTGTGACTCAGTTCTATTGCACAAGTTTCTTAGACCGTGTAAAATTGTTCATATAACTGGGTTAAAGTTAATCTTATATGAAGTAATTAGTACGCTTACTGAGAAGTACAAGGAAAGGGCATTGGTTGTAGAGAACCCTTATGCCCTTGAAAGAAAAAGCTCACTATAAATAACCTAAATCATTAATTACAAGACATCCATAATCAGACAGCTGACCATTTATTTATTTTCACTGTGGATAGAGTATCCTTATTAACATAATTCTGGTTGAGATAATAATGTATTCATAGAGACGTTCAACATTCTACCTCGTAGACAAGGACGATGCCCAGAAAATATAGACACTACGTATTTATGAGGTTGAACAGGGTCTAAGATTATAAAAAAGTCTAGTGTAGTTCACTGGGCCTGAATGTATATTAAGATATCAACTCAAGGATCCCTAATTCTCAATATGGCCACCGACACCAATGTTAACGGCCATACAATAACACGAACTTGCTTAGGGCAGCTTCTTAACCACCAAGAATTTTAAAAACTCGGGTTTCGCATTAACGTGAAACAGTTGAGTAACTGGCTAATGTATCAGTTTAATTAAATTATTTCACTAATTTAAAATGGGTACAGCCTCAGATGCATGAGGTAAGTGGGCAAGTAAGGTTACTACAGAAAGAATACATGCAAAATATTTATGAGGAAACAATTTGGAAAACGGTTATTTATTTGGATGACAGATTTGATTGATCATTCCAGTTCTATAAGATTGTTAATTATTTAATAGTGGGCACACAAAACATGAATCAGCATTGTGTTCCATTCATTACTAACACGTCTATTGCATAAGAGCAAAGCGTGTTTCGAGGACTGCACAAATTTCTTACAAATCTGGGAGTCATTCCCAAACATTCGTATAAATTTATTCGCCAATGCTGAAGCTGCCATCTATACGATATTATCAGAGCTCCACAACGCGAGTTTAAAAATTTCATATAATAATGCTCACAGACAAAGAGCCTTGAGAAAAATACGCAGATAATTCTAGTCGCCAACCTGGCTCCTAGATTTGTGTAGACATACACACATTATTGCAATTTTAGGGATTCATCTCAAACTGTCAAGGCAGTACCAGTGGTTAACATGGCATTTAAGAGCACAGTGGTAACTGTATGTACCGTCTGCTTTTACAGTGCGGTTAGCTCACAGAGTATGGGTTTCATATGATTCTCAAATAAACAAATAAACAGCTCGTATTATTTCCTTAGAACAGAATTTACCAAATGAACTTCGAGATAGGAACTAAATTTCTAAGTATTATTTGAATAAGCATCAGGCTTCAAAGTCTTAAGCGTGTATGCTAGTAACAAGTACGTATTTATAAGGATTAAAATGATTAATTTTAAAGATAGTTTATTTTTCCTACACTGAAGTGACTGGAATATTTTCTACATACAGAGTAACGGGTAAAAAGATGCACCCTATTACAGTAAATGAAAACAGAAGAAAAAATGTAGCTCTATTAACGTGGCCTGTACAAGAATACACACAACTTCCCATCCCTTCACACGATAAGGATCTGACATTTCAAACTTTCAAACGCCCGTGGAATGCCTTCAGTGGTTAATTGAATTACTTCGCTACAGAGTGCATTCGCTTGTACGCACCAGACACCTCACTTTAATGCGTCCATCAACAGTTAACAGATGCATTCCGGTATCCTTACGTTGCATACTGTAAACTCCTCCAGATATCTGAACTTGTAAGACAGACTTTTTCTCTCGTTCGTAAATATTATATTGGTTGGTGAATCGAAAGCTTTGCGTGTTAGAAAATTGGTTCTCTGTTAAACACAGGGCTGGTGGTTCGTCTTTAAGGTAGCGCAGGGCCATTACATAAGTGGCCATTTCCGACGCCCATCCAGGCCTGTGATAATCTGTGATCCGCGATTATGATACCGTGCGAACACGATTTCCTTTCTCAGAGGCATCTACTATAATCAACGTCTTTACACGGCTCGAATTGATAGACACAAGCTCTTATACATCTGACGATGGCCACTGTAGGTCGAAACAAAAGAATAAAAACTTACTCGCTGCAAATAAACCGCCTTCTGAAACAGCATAAAATGTTTGCTTACGTCGCTTTCAACCGAGTAGGGCTACCAACTTTATATATCGCCGACGTTTCAGAGGTATTTACTGCCTTCATAATTTTGGGGAAAAGAGCAATGACAAATCTGGGAAATATTGTTAAAGATAATGACATTACACTAAAAACAAAAATCATCAAAGCGATGGTCTTCCCTGTAGTAACTTATAGATGTGAAAGATGGACAATGAGAAAGATGGAAAGAAGAAAAATTGATACATCTGAGCTTTGGACTTGAGACGACTTTTAGGAGTGGCATGGACTGCCAAGAGAACAAATGGATCAGTTCTGGAGCAGATTAAACCTGACTGTTCCCTTGAGGCCAAGATCTGGAAATTAAGACTAAAGTACTTTGGTCATATCATGCGAGCCGATAACAGTCTAGAAAAATCGATAATGCTTGGAAAAGTGGAAGGTAGTAGGCATAGAGGAAGACCCCATATATGAATTGGACAATTATACATATTCAATACAGCTGAATGTCTGTCACGAGGCAACGGCTAGGATGTCAGGGCCGCAGGTTCCAGGTTGATGGCGTTTATTACAGACGCAGCAGCAAGGGCCTTAATCCTGATCAGCTAGCATTTGTACAATCTGATGATGGTTCTAATGTTCGGAGGCAAAACTACTTGAATCTTGGTCTTACGTCGATCTTCCCTAAGACTGCTTCTCAGTCTCGTGAATGTACGTCTTCATTACAATGAATTGACTCACAGATCCTTAATTTGATGGACGTTGCAGGCTTTCTTGCTGTAGGGCCTACTTTATATTAACCATTCTGTTGTATGTCGACAGATACACGTCTGCAGGCTATATCCAGCGTCAAATACAACGTACACATTTGTATTTACTTTGCACTTTATAAATCTGTTTTGTAATATATGTTCAAGGAAGTATGCTATAACGTTTCGTATTATTTTAAAACGTCTCGCAAGGGTATCTTTTTTGACTGGTAGTATGTTCTAAAATGCTACTTAAATACTTTTCTGCAT